CCATTATTTTTGTGTACTGGAACTGACCAAATATAATGGGACTCTTTCCAAAGCAGACAGGAAAGTGGGTGAAAAAAAAAGCTTTAATCTTCTATAAAAAACAATTATAGTGTACACTTCTGTTCTGAAGTTCTCCCTGTGTGTTTAAAGGGGTTTTCTCAGGCAACTGGATGTGAAACTTATTTTCTGATCCCTTTTTGAGAATAATATCCATTCAGTTTGGCTATAAGAATGTGTTTTGATTTTTTAATAGAACAGCTTGAATACTGCCAACACTGAACAACAAACTGACACAGGCTTCAGATCCCCCTCTTCTGGAATTCCATTTGGACTTGCAAAATAATTCCCTTAGAAATGGTAAACCCCATTTCTCCTCAATTTTACTGAATTCTTGCTTAGACTGGAAATAATTCCAATATCCTGCTTCTGTCTCTCTAATGTCACTGTGAGTGATGTGTTCTACACTTACAAATTGGTCAGAAAATAATTTGGATTCTGAAGCCTCTTTAATTTCTTTGGCTGCAGATGGAGTCATTGTTTTTAGAATTTCTGGATTGTTTTGATCCCTGAGTTTTGAATCAAAAGGGACCATTTATGTTTTTGGAACTACTTTAAACCAGTTTTTATGCAGTCTCCTCCTGACAAAACCAGCCCTTAGGTAATCTCAGTTCTGAACCAAAATTTGTGTTCAACCTAATCTTGGGCCTGCCACTGCTTGGATTTGCCTTGGCAAATTGTGCTGTGTAAATGCTGCTATTTTCATGTGAATATAATATAAAATACCCTCAAAACATTTGCTCTCCAGTGATATTCTTCGTAATATTGCTGATCTTGGCCATCTGCTGTTAGGTGTTTGTTAGGGGTAAATGCTGTTCCTGCAGAGGTGAAGATTTTAGAGCAGAGACAAATTGAGATGTGCAATATAAAAATTAGACTGAGTCAGAATTGCAGGAGAAGAAAGGAGGAGGATTTTGGTTTGGTCCTGATTCTCAATCAGTCACAAAGTGCTGTCACCATCAAGATTAATTGGTTTTAAGAATTCCCAGAAAAGGTGAAGGTTCCTGTCTGTTCCTTCCAACATGAACACCACCTAACACAAATTCCTGTTTTTTCTTGTGACCCTTGTTGAGGTTATTCTGTAACATTTTTGCTGTGACAGTGTTGTTTTGTAACTTCCATTCCTGTTCTCCAGGACACAACCTGCATTTTAATAGTTGGATAAAAGCATAAAATGAGGACTCCTCTCCTTGATTTATAAATATTTATAATGGAGCAAGGCTCCAATAGCCACACACTGAATTTCTGCCCAGGGTGACTTTCCTTAATGTTCCCATGGGAATGCCAGTGGCCCCTGGCTGAATACAGATGAGAGCTGTTCCTATTTTATCTAAACCATGGAATATCAGAGTGCCACAATGTGGGTGTGCAGTAATTCCTGCTCTCAGTCAAGCCTGGTGGTTTGGATCCCAGGGATGGATTGGAATGGGAAACCAATCCTGAAACAGGGCAGGAAATTCAGAGCTGGCTCAGCTGCAGTCCCAGGCCACTGCAGAATATTGAAAGCTGGGCATGGCTTTGTGTTCTGGTCATGTGCACACAGGAGAGCAGAGAAAATTGTGATAAACATCCCCTGGCTTCCTGCAGCTCCTTCCTGTGACGCAAACCAGGGAGGGCAGCTCAGAGCCAGGCTCTGGAGGAGCCCATTCCCATTTCCTGGCTTCAGGGAATTTTTCCAAATAGGTTTGTGCCCTTTTTTAATTTTTATTTTGAAATGATTGCACAGGAGCACAGCCATGACACTGGGATGATCAGTCTTTATGCTACAGTAGACAGGATGGTAAAACTTTTCAAGTATGCTTCTGTTTTGGAAAAAAAAAAAGAACAGAATACATTTTTTTTTTGCCATTTGGAATGTTTATTCTCAGAAGAAAAGAGCTTTTAAAAATTATCCTCTAGAGAGAAGACAACATGTTGCCAGGACATTTAATGTTCTAGCATTAGGGGATGCTAACAACACAAAACTTATTTTCTTTTTTTTCTCTTTCCCTTAACAAGCTCTTCAGCATTCCAAACAATAGTGAATGAGGGCCTTGAGCAGTATAAATATCTGTTTGTTTTTGCAGGTCTATAAAGGTGAATTTCAGCTTCCTGACTTCCTCAAAGAAGTGCCACAGGTACAGTATTGAATTAATTTCCTTTTTGTGGGTGTAGCAGCAAAGGATATCAAACAGCCTTTGTAAACCACTTCTTCATGAGCTTGATTTTCTGATTGATGGTGAGATTTGCTAATTATCCATGGGGTGGAATCTTGAACTCAGCATCCCAAACCTCTCCTGAATCCGTGTGTGACTCCAGAGTGAAGAGTGGTGTTTGTCACCCTGAGCTGCCTGAATATGCTGTGAAATGGAAAGAAAAATTGAGCCTCTTTTGTGGACCAAACTGCAAAGTTTATTGCTTGTAGAGGAGCTTTGTCTTTTCTTATTTTGGTTTAAAGCAAGTCTAGTCCAGAGGGCAGAGTTATAAGTACTGAAAGATTTTAAAAATAAATAGAGATGTTACCAAAGTCAACAAACCCAGCCATGGATAGAGGTGGTGTTGATTTAATAGCTAAGTGTGCTATGGAACTTCTGGTTTTACTGAAAATTCACAATTTGGAACCCCCCAAATGCTGTTCTTTGTCATCAGCTCCCTAAGGGACCTGCAAAAAAAAAAAAAAAAAAAAAAAAAAAAAAAAAAAAAAAAAAAACAAAAAAAAAAAAAAAAAAAAAAAACAACCAAAAAGAAAAGCCCTTATTGTGAAGCTCTCAAACTGTAGGATCTTGTGGGTATCACAGAATTGTAAATTCCCAGAATGGTTTGGGTCGAAGGGACCTTAAAAATAGTTTTTTTTTCCACCCCCTGCCATGGGCAAGGACACCCCCCACTATCCCAGGCTGCTCCAAGCCCTGTCCAACCTGGCCTTGGACACTGCCAGGGATGGGACAGGTTAAAAATACCCAGAAATCTACCACAAACAAAGCATTTTGACTTCTCCATTTGTTCAAATAAAAATGATTTGATTAAAAAGGAAAACTGATTTCTTTTGTTCCAGCCGAAGAAGACAGTAGAAAGGAGGTCTCGTGGCAAGATTAAATGAACGTGGAGCAGTAAAGTGGCATAGCTGTAGTGTGTGTTTCATGTTTTCAGAAAATAACCCTGCTGTGGCCACCAAATCTTTCTGAGCAGCCTTTGTGTGATCTCTAACGTGGGCTTGGCTTTTCCCTGGCTGTTTGCCTGCTTGGATCACTCGGTGCTCCTGCTTTGCTCAGCTCTGGAGAACCATCCCAGCCCTGTTGCTGCCAGCATTGTCCCTGTCACTGAGTGTCTGCTCCATGTGTGCTGCTGAACTCACAGGAGCCTGCTGGGGTCACTTCCACATGGGATTGCTGCTGGGATTGCAGGATTAACTACCAGAAAGCTGCAGGAATGGGGTGTGCCTTACCAGGAGGGGAAATGCTGCTGAGAGGGATTTATGGAAAATGCAGGGAGATCCTTCAGACTTGAGCACACAGTGTGTAGATGGTGTGCTAGCAAAAAAAAAAATCCTTGATTTTGAATAAAGCCTGGGTTAAATCCTTTAAATTCTTGTTTGCATACAGTATCAGTTAAATTATGTTGTTTGTGGTTTTCAGTTATCCTGGGGTACCCAGAAGAACCTGGGCCACTCTGCCTGATAAATTCCTTCTTCAGTCCATAGGATAGGGAGGTTCCTGCTAAATTCCAGGAGGTGAATTTATACAATTAGCTTGGTTTAAATACAGTATTTACCAAAATCTGAGCAGATTTATCCATAGCAAAGACAGACCATCCAAAAGACAAAAATAAACACTGTGGAAGAGTAAAAGAAGATTCCTTAAACCATAAAAACCTGATCAAATTGATGCTGATAGTGTTCTCCTTTAGTGTTAACATAATGTAACTAAGGAGCTCAAAGGTTTGGAGAGCAGACATCAGTACTGATATTTTTGTCCTCTAATGTAAAATAGCTAATTTAATTTTAATTTTTTTGACAGACTGAACCTATGGAATAGAAGATAAAATGGACATTTCTTGCACAGAAGGTAATAAAAGAGTGTTTCAGTTCTGCTCATTTGTTGTTCTTAATTCAAGATGATTTTTGTTTAACTTCTGTAACTCCATGGGTAAGATAAATATAAAGGTATGTTTTTTAAAGGAAGCTGCTAAAGATGAGCTGGTTTGTGATATTTGGTTTAACATCTCATAGCCAGTGTTTTCAAAAAGCTGCATTTTAGTCACTGAATAAACAGTGACAAAATTACAGGGAGCTGAGTAAATTCCAGACTAGTTAAAGAATGAGTGATGCAAGGTTTCCTGTGTTAATCCAGGGTTTTTCTGCTATCAGATCTTCTGGCCTGACAACAAAAGATGGCAAAATTTAAATCCAGTTTAAAAATAGCCCAAAGCAATATGCCCTACAAATATCCCCAAAATAGATCCTTACGTGGCCATAAATATAAACACCCTAAATACAGCCAAAAGCACTGCTCTGTGTAGAAATAATGGCTCTAAAATCTTCCCAGAGATGAATTACAGACCTTCACTGTGAAATCAATAGATAAACTATCATCTGTTCACACAGCCAATTTAAAATAACCAAGGCATCAACCTCATTTTGCCACTTAGCTCTGAAAAATGGATTTCAGCCTGCAATATTTCTGTCTGAAGCTGCTGCCCAGTTTCTGAGAAACCAAACTGGGACTTCCCAGCATAACTTCCCACTGGGTCACAAGGGTTTGGGATGTAAGTGGAAAATCAATATTTTTTTTTGCACCATGCTGCAAGCAGTCTCTAATGAAAAAGGAGGGACAAAGCAGCCCCATCCCTTGCAGGAATGGGATTTGTCATGGCAGTGGCTTTCCACCTGCTGAGACAACAGTGGCTACCCTTAATTCTGCCTTATTTGTCATTCCACAAGCCTGTCCAGGATAAAAAGCTGAATATTACCAGGAAAACTCCAACATAACTTTATTTATTTTTCCTTAGAAGATCAGCTGCTGCCTTTTCCATGGGAATGATCCCTCAGGCTGTCCCCCTGGCATCAGAGGTGTGCTGCTCATGGCCTGCTCTCCTCAGAATGTTCTCTCCTCTTGCTTTCATCCTGGTTTTGTTTCAAATTTTGTTGTTGTGAGCGCATGTAAACCTGTTAAAAAACAACAAAAAAAAATCACTGATGTTAATGTACAACTGCTTTACATTCGCACAACTATTTTTTTAAGGTTTTAAAAAATGCAAAAGCAATGCCTGTCTCTGAAATTGCTCTTCTCTTTTAATTACAGGGCTCCATCTTCAGATTTTTTTTGTTTCTTGTAGCAGTTTGGTTTTAAATGTACAAAGCTTTCAAGAGTGGTCTGTGCTTGTCCTGAAAGATTCTTGGTGGAAAAGTTGTTTTATTCATATGTGAAAAATGTTAAATATCTTTTATTTAAAAAGGAAAAAAAGTTGATAAATTACATGTACAATTACAATTCAATGATCTTTTGTATTTTATTTTTCAAAATAAATGCTTTAAATGTGATTTTTGTTTATTTATTTCTTAATTAACGGTCTTGTTTCCAACTTAATATTTAAATAATTCAAGATACTGACGTGTTAGTTATAATTCAAAATATTGATGTGAGGGAAGATATGATCTCATGTCCTGGCTTTGGATCTTATTTTAAGGTTTGCAATTTATTGCTTTTTGTTTGCTTTTAGTAGCTGGGTGATGAAGAAATACTAAATTGGAGTGTCCCACTGAGAGGTGTAACATGAGATTTGTTTGGTGCAGGTAGAAGTAGGTAATTTTAGACTCCTGAATTTGTTCCTTAACAGCAATTTTGTTCAGAGATGCTCTGCTGGGGGGGATCTACTGCTGTGAGTTGTACCCTAAAGTTTCGCTATTTAGGGTACAATGTGGAACGTTATTATTTCCATAAGTTATTTTTGGGATGGGTGTTGTGGCTCAATTCCTGCTCCCCCTCGCCGGTTCAAGGCGGTGAAGGCGGTTTCAACCTTCCCCACTGGTTCTGAGACGCCTTCGTGCCAAAACATTTGTATTTCCCCGGATTGTGGATCTGACGGAGTTTTGCTTTTCCTCCGTTTCTCCCTTGTTCTGTGTGTGGCGATAAACCCGTGAGGAAGGGCGATCTGCGCGCTCCTTCCCACACGCGCTCCCGGGGCCTCCCCTGCTGCCGGCTGAGGGCAGCGCGGCCCCGCCGCTCCCGAGGCCGCTCACTGACCCCGCTGACACCGCCGGGCGTTTCCCCGGAGCCGCTCGGCGCTGAGGGATCGCCCCGGTGCCGCCGCCGGTGCCGCCCGGGCGGCTCCTCCCGCCGGGACCCGGATGGGCCCGTACGTGACGCGGGGGCGCGGCCGCTCCCCCCGGGCCGGGCCGGAGCGCAGCCGCAGCCGCGGGCGGGCAGCAGGTGAGCGCGGGCGGGGACAGGCGGCCCCGCTCCCCTCAGCCCTCCCTCATCCCCTCCATCCCCGGCGGGGCTTTGCCCGCGGCCGTGGCTCCGGTACCGACCCGCGGCAGGTGAGGGAGCGGCGGGGAGGCCGCGGGGCTGGAGGGGTGAGGGGAGCGGAGGGACCGCGGCCGGGGCAGCCCCTCGCTAGCGGCGGTGCCGGTCAGGCTGTCACCCTGGCGAGGTGAGAGTTAAGAGATAATTATTAATTAATTATTAATGAATGATTGGTTATTTCCCTGACTGTTGGCGTGCCCGCCGCCTGGGTTTGTGCTGCTCCATCCAGGCGCTGTGGTGATGCCTGTGCTCCTCAGAGCTGTCAGACGGCTCCGAGCTCTGAAGGCTGTGGCGTTCCGTGAGGGGCAGTGCCAGCCCCGGTGTCCTGAGAGCTGTGGGATTCCGTGAGGGGCAGTGCCAGCCCCAGTGTCCTGAGAGCTGTGGGATTCCGTGAGGGGCAGTGCCAGCCCCGGTGTCCTCAAAGCTGTGGGATTCCGTGAGGGGCAGTGCCAGCCCCGGTGTCCTGAGAGCTGTGGGATTCCGTGAGGGGCAGTGCCGGCCCCAGTGAGTGCAGCCCCGGTGTCCTTCACCCTGGTCACTCCAGCCCCCTGCCCAGTGTCCCTGCTGTCCTGCAGGGTCACTGGGATGGAGAGTCCCATTCTGCCCATCTACACACCCTGTCCTTGCTCTCAGCTGCAAAGCTGAGTTACACTGCCCTTTCATCATTGTTGTTTATGACTAGAGATGCTGGGATTTTACAGTCCAGGATTCTCCAGGCCAGTGTTTAACAGTTTATTGCCCCTCTTCCAGGATGTTTCTTTGCTGCTCTGACACAGATTCATTGGAATTTACTGGATGTTGTGTCATTTCCCTCTGTGTTCGTACAAACCTTACAACCATCTGTGTCTCTTGAAGTTGGGGATGCAGACACTGCTAAATCAGGTCTCATTCTAGCCCAGTTTCTCTTTAAAAAGGGGGAACCTTCTAACAATCCAGTTGGTATCTCCCCAAAAAAACACATCCCAAAGAGTTACCTTTGAACAGGAGTTTGTGTGGGACTCCTGCAATGGGTTCATACATCAGAACCTTGACAGAAAAGCCTTTGACTGTATAACCATCCTGTCATTTTTCGTTGGTATGTAACTTTTTTGGGGTTTGTAACTTTGCCAACACTGGTGCAACCTCAGAAGGTATTTAAGAAAAAGTTGTTTAAACCAATATGGAGAAGTTGAGAGAACAGCAGAACCTTGAAAAGCTTTTCTAAATCTTAGCATCAAGCCCAAATCAAGGGTTGCTGTCATTCTCTGGGGAATGAAGCCAAACTGGCAGGGCCAGCTCATTTGCTGAGCTTTTTTTGCTGTGTGCGGGACAATATCTGAGCTGTCCCCAGCAAAGCTCCAGGAAGCAATCCTTGCTTTTAAATGACAGCTGGAAGGACTGGAAGGAGGGATTTCTGGTAGGGTTGGATGGTGCTGATGTGATATTTGATTTAATGATAATTTTATTTATTGGTGGTGTTTTCTGTTGATCTAGACCTAGATGTATTTGAAGGTGAAATGGCAGCACTTGCTTAGTTTAAATAAATAAATTCTGTAAATTTAATGAGAGATTTAAGAAGGGAATGTTTCTACACATAGTTAAAAATAATTTTTGCAGGTGCTTTGAGAGAAAAGAAAAGGATCAGTCCAGGTTTGGATGGGGCTTGGAGCAACCTGGTCTGTGGACCTGGAAGGGGGGTGGAACTGGATGATCCTTAAGGTCCTTCAACCCAAACTATTCTGGGGTTCAGATGGATGATGTTTTCTTCATGAAATGCAGAGATTAACTTCTGGTTTTCTTTCAGGAGGAGTCTGCTCCTGTCAGCACAGCTCTGTTTCACTGCTCCCTGGGTGAACAGGTGAAGCCAGCCTAGAGAGGGACTTCACTCACCTTTTAATGAACGTCAGAAAACAGGTTCAACTTGTCAGTCATTGATCTTTTTATTGCCACTGAGCTTGTTCTCAAAATCCTGGTCTCATGATGGTCTAAACCTCATTACTGAGGGCTTGTTCTGTGTGGATGTTCCAATGGCAGAGGAGGTTGGTATCCTGAGCAGAACATAATTAATGCTGTCTCATGGCTTTTTTTCTTAAACCTTGGTGTCATATGGAAGGAGATTATGAAAGAGGGAGAAAAATCTCTTTTTCTCAGGCTTCTAGCTCTGTTAGGAAAGAAGCCCTTTTTGGTGCAGTGCCAAATGGATGAACTTACCCCAAAAACCCATTCTGTGGTCAATAATGCTGGTATAGTTAATGGAGTGAATGTTGTTTATTCCCACTAAACTCCATTTAGTGAAATCTATGGGACATCCTTGAAAAATGCAGACAAAGAACACATTCTTGGTCATTCTTGTGTTCTTTTTGAGTACTTTAAAGAGAACTAGAAATAGCAGCCAAAGCACTGGTGTCAGGTGGCATCTTTATAAATAATACTTTCACATAAATACAGGCTCACTCTTATAAATGCTGATCTGCAAGCTTTTTCTGGGTGATAATTTGTTTATGTCCTTAAAGAAATCCCTAGCAAAATAATATTTCATTTCTATTTTGTCTATTTTATATATATATATATAAAAATTGTACCTGTGAGGCATAGTTGAGTTGTTTGGATAACTAATGATGTCAGAATAAACGTTGTTTTAGAACAAATATTAAAATTGTTAATATGGTGTGGCCCTTCAGAAGCACTTCCATTCTTATTTATCTGCCTGTGCATTGGACTGGGGTGGAAAACTGATTATGAATTGTAGAGAAGAGAAATTAAATCCCTCTCTGAGCTGAGCCAACCCTCTTAATGATGTCTGGAACTTCACAGTAGCTACTTATCTATGTTTATTAGGGTGTTAAACAGGATCTAGAATTCATCTCCAAATTTTGGGGAAAGAGGGCTGTGAACACTCCCCCAGAATGTGGAGATTTTGGTCTGATCAGGTCTCCACAAAGAACCTGTTTTGCTCAGGAGCATCCCAGCTCTGTCTGGCTTCACTCTGAACTCAATATTTCCTGTAAGAGCTGAGATCTAACAGTGTGCAGCATTATTAAGGCAGATTTTCAATTTTCATCTTTTTTTCGTGCTGATTTTCAGGGGAAGCATCCTTCAGTTAAATAAATATGCCAGATGTGCTTGTGCAAATAATCCTCCCCTTTCTTTATTTTATAGTGGTTTGAGAGAAGGTTTGGAGGTGGATAAAGCCTCTGGTGGTGGAATGTCTTTGTTAGGGAGTTGCGGTGCTGCTGGGGACACCCTGGGAACAGGGATTTTACATAACGCAGTGTAAGGGGAGCAGCGGGCTTCTCTTTCAGTTATTATTTTTATCGTGCAGTTTGTCAGTGCATCCCATTCTCCCCTTGAGGATGGACTGAGAAGCCTTGGAGGTGTTAAACCCAGCTGATAATTAGCAGCGTGCTAAGGAGAGTTAATTATTCGTGTCTCACGTGCGCGTCCGTGTGTGCTGTGCTGTGCTGTGATGCAGCGGGCAGGGAAACGCCTGCATTCCCTGGCTGCTGAGAAATCCCGGTTTTCCCATTTCCTAAGGAATTCCAGAGCCCGGCCGAGCCCTCCCCGTGCCCGTCCCCGCTGCCGGCGAGCGGCTGAAGGTGACAGACGGAGCCGGGTGTCGCCAATGTGGCAGGGACGCGTCCCAGCATCCCGCCCCTGGCAGGGCCGTGTTCCTGCATCCCGCCCCTGGCGAGGGACAGACTGGGACAGCGGCCACCCAAATTCTTCCAGCAAATGACATTTTCCTGCAAAGGCGCGCCGGAGCCAATCGCTCCCTGCACCGTGCAGCCAATGGATGCCGGGCTTTTCCAGCCCCTGCCAGCGGCTCCGCGGCTGGAGGGCCTTGGAGCAGCTGTGCCAGCGACATTCCTGCCCGCTGCCCTCTCCGGGGGTGCCTGGCATCCCTGCTCCTCCTCCTCCCGGGAATAACGCTGCTGCTGGCAGCGCTCGGGGCCACGCGGCCGCTGCGGGGAGCGCGCCGGCGATTGGGGTAATTCGGGTGATTAATTTGGGTCTCTCTTCAGCACTGCCACGGCCTCCTACCCAGCAGAGCTGCTCCCCAGAGCCAGAGGGATGGTGGTAGTCACGGGGCAGAACAAAGTGAGTGCCACCCCGGATGATGCCATGTCGAGCTCGGATGCAGAGGATGATTTCCAAGAGCCGGCCACTCCCACCGCCACCCAGGCAGGACAAGCGCTACCTCTGCTGCCCCAGCAGGTAAGAGCTCACCTGCGACCGGCATGATCACGGCAGCACAGACTGCTCAGGTGCTGAAGAATTCAGGATTTCCTTGTGGATACTCAGCTCGCTTAACGCGTTTGTGTAAAACTCAGTCTCTTGAATGCATTTGAGTAGCTCGGCAGCTTTACTTACAAGCTCCATCCAGGTTTGGACTTGAGACATGCAATCAAGTGTTTATTCTGGTACTTCAGGCAGCCTGGGGGGGTGATAGTAAGATTTGAGGCCTGATGTAAACAAATGCTTTTTTTTTCAGTGTATAGTATAGTCTGGTTGTGTAAAGGAACCAGCAGAGTGCAAGTCCTGAGGTTGACCTGAGATTTCTTCCCTTTTGTTCTTTCTGTGTAAGGCTGGGGAAGGAGTTTTGTTTTGTTCTTTCCTTTCCCCAAAAGAGCCAAGAGGAGGCATTAATATCTCAAATATCTGCCATTCCAGCTGAGTGATTTCTGCTGTTTCAGATTCCCAGCTACAATTAAACCACTCCCTGATTCCTCCCAGCATCCAAAGCATCCAAATTTTCACCCCTCAGAGCTCCCTGATCTGTGGCAGCGGGGCAGGAACCACCCATTGTCCCGGTGGCAAACTGCAAGTGCCTTTTGAAAGCTGTGCTGTCACCTTGCAGAGGACTGGCAGCTCCTTTCTGATGTCCTGGTTGCTTTTGCAGTTCCCAGAAGTTGTCCCACTGAACGTGGGGGGGATGTTTTTCACCACCAGACTGTCCACGCTGCGCAGGTACGAGGACACCATGCTGGCAGCCATGTTCAGCGGCAGGCACTACATCCCCACGGACGCTGAGGGCAGGTACTTCATCGACAGGGATGGCACCTACTTCGGGTATGTACACACCCTCAGGGCAAGCTTGGCGAGTTCTTACTGAAAGCTTCTTTTTAGACTTGTTTTTAACAGTTCTTTTCCTTAGAGTGCAGCAGTTAACCCTGCACGCCTTCAAAGCATCGCAGGAGTAACTGCAGTTAAAAATTCTTTGTTGGTTGTGCAATGGGAAAGGAAAAACAAGAAATGTTTTGGATTTGTGCATTGTCTCCCCTAGAGTATCTCCTTTCAAGGTATCAAGATGTTTTGATGGTTTAAAGAAGTGTTTGGAAATAGGAAACTCCTTGCACACCCCTGGTTTTTAATTGATATTCAGTATCTGTAAGGAAGAGGGAATGGAAGGAATGAGTCTAGGATTCTTACACAGTTGAGAATACGATGTTTTAATCTTTAAACAGGATATAACTGCTACAATAAAGCACAAGCTTTTAAAGAATTTGTTTTCCTGATTTATTTTTGTTGGTAGTGCCATATTCCTTTACCTCCAGGATCCCTCCTGAGTGCTTAGCTTTTATTTTATTTTTGATTAAACTAACCATGATTACTAATGCTCTGTTTGAATGGAGGTGAGATTGCTACAAAAGGTGATCAGTGTTCATGGGTTCAGGTCTTTGCCCAAAGCACACATTGCAATTTATCCCAAATTTTGTGTTTCTCCTTTATAGACATTTCCTTATTGCCTTCAACAGAAGAGCATTGAATTATTTTCAAAGCACTTTTGAGTTGTACCATAATCTGGGACAGAGATAGATTAAGCCACTGTGTTTATTCTAAAATAATTGTGTCTTTACACGAGGCAGTTGTTGGAAAATCAATTAATTTGTGATGTTATCAACCTCAGTTGAAAATACAGCTGGAACAGAGAGCCAGGGTAGCAGGTGCTGTATTTGTTGTCATTCTAAGATTGCAGTAATGCTTCTTTTATTTGATAAGGTTTTCTTAGTTAACACTTACAAAGTGATTTCTTTGGTTTTTTTGATAAGGTTTTGTTGGTTAATACTTATAAAGTGATTTTTCTCTCTGTCAAAAGATCCTGTTGCTGAACAGTGTTTCAGAACTACGAGGAAATGTTCTGTCTCTTTTTAAAAAATTCTGATTATTATTCTGTAAGTGGCCCTGATCTGTGATGAGAAACCTCCTTTGCAGATGTCCCATCCATTCAGCTGGATCTGTGTGGAATAAAATGTCCATGAAAATGATTCTCTGGGAAAATGCAAAAGTTTATTTAGTCCCAGACCTAAATTTGCAATGCGGTGACCACAATTGCTTTCCCATGAAACACTCTGGCCTCTTCTGTATTATAAATGGTTTCCTCCACAATAAATGTTTGGTTTAAAAAACACTGATATTTTTTCAAATGAGTTTTGACATCAGCTGAGGCAAAATGTGAAATAATGGCTTGGAAACCTGAACGTGGCAAACAGTTGTACAAACAAATGTTGGGAATAAGGCTCATTTATTTCAGTTACTGTCTCAGTAGAGCAAACAATGAATATCCAGCGTTTCCTGTCCTTTCCCACCTGCAGCAGTTTTGGCAGAAATGTGTTTGTTAATGATATTTTTGCCCTTTTTTTTCAGAGACATACTAAACTTCCTACGATCTGGTGACCTGCCCCCCCGAGAGCGAGTGAGGTCAGTGTACAAGGAAGCTCAGTATTATTCCATAGGACCCTTGCTAGACAATCTAGAGGATATCCAGCCTCTTAAAGGAGAAAAAGTTAGACAAGCTTTCCTGGGCCTAATGCCATATTACAAAGGTAAATAAACAAAGTAGCACTGACTGTTTCTTCTAGTGGGATTCCAGTGTTAAACCTCGTGCTTTCAGTCTGCTCTCAGCTCCCAGACTGATCCCATTGCAGCTGGGAAGTTTATTCTGTATTTTTTATGCTGTTTGGATCTTTGAGGTCTCCACATCCTGCTGCATCCCAGGGTGTGGGTTTGTGTGCTTAAAAGGGAGCAAGGTTAGGCTGTAATGTTATCAAATGAGAGGGTTTGTCTGCATTTGTTTTGTAGGACTTGCAAGTGAATAAACTTGGCCTTGTAGTGAGGCCAGATTACTTGGGCATGTAATAAGGCCACCAGGCTCACCAGATAACTGAGATTGATTTGATTATTCTAGATATTATATAATATATATAATAATATGTATTGATTATATAATATATTAATTTATATTTTTTGTTTAATAAGGCCACCAAGCTCACCAGATAACCAAGACTGATTTGATTATACTATATATTATATCATTATATAATGTATATAACATTTCATATTAATTATATAATTATATATTAATTTTTATTTCTTTTTATATATATTGTATAATAAGGCCACCAAGCTCACCAGATAACAGAGATTGATTTGATTATTCTATATTTTCTAATATATACATTATATTATATATAATAATATATATAATTTTATTACATTATTCTATGTAATCGTATATAATATTATATATAATATATTAATTATGTAATTATATAATCTATTAATTTTTTTAATATGATAAGGCCACCAAGCTCACCAGATAACGAGATTGATTTGATCATTCTATATTTTGCTACCTGCTGCTAATGTCATGCTGAGAACAGCTGCAGTGAAACGTTTCACATGCAATAACTGCTTTTGTTCTTTCCCTCGGCCCTTGGCTGGGACCCTCAATGTGTCTGTTTTCCAGACCACTTGGAGCGGATCATCGAGATAGCCAAGCTGCGAGCCATGCAGAGGAAGGCCAGGTTTGCCAAGCTGAAGGTGTGTGTGTTCAAGGAGGAGATGCCCATCACTCCCTACGAGTGCCCCCACTTCAACTCCCTGCGCTTCGAGCGCAGCGAGAGCGAGACCAAGCTCTTTGAGCACCACTGCGAGGTGGACGTGTCCTTCGGGCCCTGGGAGGCCGTGGCCGACGTCTACGACCTCCTGCACTGCATCGTCACCGACCTGTCCGCCCGCGGCATCACCGTGGACCACCAGTGCATCGGCGTGTGCGACAAGCACCTCATCAACCACTACTACTGCAAGCGCCCCATCTACGAGTTCAAGATCACCTGGTGGTGAGCAAAGCAGAGGGTCAGAGGACTCCCAGAGGACAAACGTTCTTTCAGAGTTGCCTGGTAGTGAGTGTGGTGGCACATCGAGGGGTGAAAGGACTCCCAGAGGACAAATGTTCTTTCGAGATGGCCTTGTGGTGAGTGTGGTGGCACAGCGAGGGATGAAGGGACTTCTGGAGAACAAATTCTTTCAAGATTGCCTGGTGGTGTGGTGGCACATCGAGGGGTGAAAGGACTGCTAAAGGACAAATGTTCTTTTAAGATCACCTTGTGGTGAGTGTGGTGGCACATTGAGGGGTGAAAGGACTCCCAGAGGACAAATCTTCTTTCAAGGTCACCTTGTGGTGAGTGTGGTGGCACATTGAGGGGTGAAAGCACTCCTAGAGGACAAATTCTTTCAAGGTCACTTTGTGGTGAGTGTGGTGGTACTTCGAGGGGTGAAAGGATTTCTAGAGGACAAATGTTCTTTCAAGGTCACTTTGTGGTGAGTGTGGTGGCACATCGAGGGGTGAGAGGACTCCTAAAGGACAAATGTTCTTGGCAGTTACCTTGCTGCTCACATTCCTTGGGATCAGCCTGCTGGCAGGGGTTGGGAACACCTCTGGAAACTTGAAAAACCAGCCTAAAATCAGACTGTTGGCTCAGGTACCTTAACGAGGCACAAAACAAAATCACCTCATGCAAAGGATGGAGGCTGAACATCTGCTAAAAGGTGCCACCAACCACGTGGCTTCAGGATGGAATTGCGGATTTTTCCTGCATTTTTGGGAATCTGGGGTGCTACTAAAGCTGACATTTCAGTTTTACCCTCTTAGAAATGTTTTAGTTCCTCCTTCAGCTTTATAAAGTTTGAGTCACACCCAGCACAAAGATCTGGAAATGTCATTTTGATGTACTAGATAATTAAAAAAAAAAAAGGAATATTCCTTATATATTATTAATTGTTGTCAGGATTAAACTGTATTTCTTTTTTAATTAAGAATCTATGTTGTGAATTATAATGTTGTACTTCAATTATTTCTGTTGTTATCAAAAGGAATAGCAGATCTGGAATATATTCCTTAATGCTTTTAGGAATAATAACTGTTCATGGAAGACTTGTGCCTGTTTTTAGCCTTAGAAATTTTAAATGTTTACAATATATACAAAAAAAAGCTCTTTAGAATCAGGTCATTTGCAAAGGCTTTTGGTAAATGAGAGAACCCTGTCTGTATGTTCCTGTCAGCAGTAGTAAGAGGAATATTTAATGTATATTATTTTATTACTGACTCTTTTTACATTCTGTGATATTAAACTTTATTTTAGACTTAAAGTCAGATGATATTAGACAAGTGCTTCCTTCACCTCACCTTTTTCAGACAATTAAATCTTAATTTTATCCTTCTTCTTGACCCTTCTTGATGTCGTAGAAGGAAAACCAAAATTCAAATTTCATACTCAGATACTTCTCCACTCTAAAGCAGTAGGAAATTCCTTTCCATGCTGGAAGAGGCAGCCACTGCAGAATCTTATTTTCTTCAGAAGGTCATTGTTGTACTTCTGACATGAGCAACCACACCTCAAACTCCAACTACTGAATTCAGCCCAAAACAGAGGGAGAAAAGTCTGCAAATCTTATTGTTTTGTGAGGTACAGAAAACTCCAACCTCCTTGAAGGGGCTTCAAAATAATCTTAAAGAGAACGAAAAAGTAAATATTTGTATATTGCATTCCATTGGATTAATTAATCCTAGAATATTGCTTCATTAAACTTCTGACCAAAATTCTCCAGAAACATTAATGACAGCGATCAAAATTCTGTTTTCTGAGACAGTTTTAAAAATAACTCCAAGAACTTAAGGATCAAATTGTCTTGCAAAGAAAGAGACCATTTTTTTGCCTTGTCACCCTTTTAGATATTTAATGTAGCAATGGAATTGTCTCTCTGAGGTGGGTGTCTCCCTGCTGAGCTCTGCAGTCCCTACACAGGATCATTGTCAAGGGCAGAGATAAATTTGAATAGAGGGAGTTCTGCACATTTGGATCTAAAATTAAGTTTCAATTGTTTCCTGAAATAATAGCCTTGGTGTTACAGGTTCTTGGAGTTGTGCTTGGCAACCCAAAATTAAAAGTTAAACTGAGACTAAAGTTTCCCTGCAAGGAGTGGAAGTTTTGCTTGGTTTCTTTGCTGCTTTGCTGCCTTCATTTTTTCTTTCTTCCCAAGGAATCTAAACTGCAAACCACAATTTCTTAGAAAATTGAAGAACATCTTAAAGCTGAGCCTTACAAAGTTTTGGCTGCTTGTGCACTTCAGATATTTAAATTTGGAATTTTCAGTTGTTCAGAATTACAGATATCCAGAATTACAAATATTTCAGATGTTCAAAATTACAGATATTTACAATTTCAGATTGCAACAAGAATTGCAGTTTTACTGGAATTTTCAGTGGGTTGGTTTTTTTTTGCCACTTCCCATAATTGTATTTACAGAACTCTGGCTGGAGTTCCAGCACTCCTTGCAGGAATGAATCACAATGTGATTTTCACCTTGTGTTTTCTGGTTTGGCTTTAGGAATTTCCCTGCTGTTAATCAGGAGAAGCTGTGATGACAAAATTCCTGTTTCAGTAATTTTGTTACTCCTTAATATTTTGGATTTTGTAACTTTTTCCTGTTCATTGCTTAAGTAATTAAGGAAGGCAACCCAACCAAAAAGAGAAAATTAAGATCTTGGTCTGTATCAGCTGTGTTAATCAAAGTTCTCATCCTCCTGAAAACATTAAGTGCAATACTGGAAAGGAAAACATGAATTTAAGCCCACAGGTTTTAATTAGTGCTGGAATTGGTGATTTGTTCAGGTTAACAATATTTTAATTGTTCCAAGCAGTCTTTGTTTACAGGGATTTAGCTGCTCTTGCCCAGCCTGTGCTCATTTTTTGCCAGAAGCAGAAGAATTGTGCAGGTGGATGGCAGGGGAGTGTGATCTAAAAACTGGGTTGTGGAACGTCATTGATTCTCTTTTCTGGGCCTGTAGCTTTTGAAATTCTACATTTGCAACAAAAATGTGAGTGGCTGATCTGCTAAATCCATGTTTGAGAGGACTGAGGATTTTTGTATAGAATTGTATCATTAAACTATGGAATACTGATTTTTTTTTCCTTTCCCTTTTTTTTTTTCTTTTTTCTTTTTTCTTTTTTTTCTTTCCTTTAGGACTTTTCTTTACATCTGGGCACATCAGAGTTCTGCTAATCCACATTTTTCTGTGCTCCCTTAGCTTTTTTTGCCACTTTATCATCTACACAGCCTCCACTTTTCCACCTTCACACTCCCAAATCCCTGTGTTTGTGAGCAGTAAATTGTCTCCTGTCCATTTGAATACTGGATGAATGGTGGGACAGTTGGGGGATATTTATTTAAAATTAGAATTGTCAACTATTTTTTACATTGCTGTGTGTGAACAAAAACATGACAAGGCAATTTTTTTTAGCATTCCCTTCATATTAATTGTGGAGTGGTTTTTAACAGGGAACAAAGGGAGCTCTCTCATGAAGTGAGTTGGCCAATTCCACAGCACATGAAATGTTTCTCCATCTGGTTTATGCTTGTGAAATAGCAAAGGGAAAAAAAGAAAATAATAATAGGAAAATAAAAAATAGGAAAATTTTAAAAAAGGAAAATGACCCTTATGAAGCACTCAAAAATGACACGAAAAGGTGTTTATGTACAGCAGCCACTTCATGGCTGCTGAGCTCAAGAGTTTAAAAAAAATCTAAAAAAACTTTTGGACTTGGTGTAGACTTTTAACTTGAATGCCCAGTATTCTGCACAGGAATCTGAAATATTCCTTGCTGACCTTCCATCCTCCTCAGAGGAAAGTGAAGGTGCTGCCAGCTTTGGCCTGGGAAGCCTTTGTGCCATAAACAGATCCTCTGTGCTCCCTGTGGGGCATGTGCTGGATTTTTATTTTTCTTTTAACCTATAATGAGGGATCAGTTGGGGTTTTTCCCCTAAAAAGCCAATTACTGATATAATTAAAGGTTTTGTAGCTTCATTTGGCATTTGTAAGCCCTGGGAGCCCTCGTTGCCAGGTTCATCCTCACTGCTCGTTGTTTGGAGGTGACAAGGGATGTGAGGAGGGGGATGATGGACGTGGCAGCAGGGAAAAATTCCTGTCAGAGCTGCTTGTTCCCATTGCAGAGCTGCTCTTTGTGTTTGGCTTCAGCTCTTGGTTTGTGTGGGGCACAGAACATCCACCCCATTTGTGTGAGCCCTCCACTGCTCTCCCATTTGTGTGTAAATCCATGGAGTCGTGGTTCTGGGAGACCAAAGGGTGAGAAAACCCAGGGCTGTGGATTGCAGCAGTGACAAGTGAGTCTTGCAGGGTCACACTGCTGGAATCTGGTTTACAGCACCTTGATGTCACAGCTTCTCTGTGACATTTTCTTTTTTTTTTTTCTGTGACATTTTCTTTCTTTTCTGCATGGCAAAGCAGAGTGGTCACTTGGGAAACAACTGCCTGGCAGGTAAGGGGAGACTTCAGAGCAGACACCACAAAAAAATGATCCCTTAATTCATCCTAAACTCTGGGGTAGATTTATTGAACATCTTTTAATGACTGCTTTACCCTAGACAATTTGTAGACCCTGCTGGCTTTAAGTTGTGGTTGGCATTACTGAGCCCTGAAGAGGACCCAAGATAGTTCTAAATTTTGGGCTATGACAAAAACAAAACAAAACAACAAACCTCCAGTCTTTCATTATCTTTCTGCAAATAAGCTGATTTCAGAGGATAATTCTATCTCCTGTATATAATTCTCTAACTGGAAATCACCTTCCAGAACAGCAGTTCATGGTCATTTTACTTACACGAGCTTAGTATAAGTTTACCTCCACTTTCACTGTGACTTTTATAAATGGATTTTGTTTTGCTGAATTATAAATTGTATGTGTCTATGCATTGTAACCCGTAATGCCTTTGAAAATCCAGCCTGGATGCTAACGATCAGGGTTTGGAATTATCTCCAAATGAGTTTTGTTAATAATTATGTTGATGTGTGGTGTTCAATACTGTGAGTACTGCAGTGTATTATTTCTTAATACTTTTGACTTTTCAGTTCAGGTAATATATATGTTTTTTTATTTAAGACACATAGAAAAAAATGTGGATACAAGGGTTGTGTTGTGCAATAAAAGATTATGATACTGAAAACTTGCAATTCTGGCTCATCTGGTCCGCAGCCACTGCAGTGGTTTTCCTCACCTTCCCTGGGATTTGAGTGTGCTTTGCCTGACTGCAAATGAAAACTAAGCCAGGAATGTGTGTCCCGGGCTGTTTTAATGGCATTGAGGTGTTCATCATCGCTTCCTGAGCAGGGGCACTGTCAGGGACACCGGCGAGGATGGATCATTGCAATGACTGATCCCATCCCTCCCTCCCCACCCACCCATTCCTGTGACCGAGCACAGCAGCTGCCCCTGGGTCTGCAGTGCTCGAAAAGAACCTTTCTGCCTCTGTTCAGAAGAATTCCTCATTTTCTGAAGTAACTTCTTTCTGTCCATCTGTCCGGCTGAAGTGCTCCCTATCTTACAGCAGAATGTCCGTGCTGAGAAAAAAAAAAAAAGGGAAAGAAAAAGAAAAAGAGAAATGGAAACCAGCACTCAACACTGTATAACTGAGCATGGAAAGAGGAGTTTGAAATAGCAGCGGATATTTTTATATTCCCCCAAGGCAGCTCCGGGGTGCTCGTGTGGGGCCAGGGCCGGGCCCTGGAGCCCTGAGGAGCTGCTGCGGGCTCTGGAGAAGGAAGGGAGGTTGCAGGGTGAGAACTCGCCACAATGGAAGAGAGCTCGATAACAAAAAAGCAGAGAGGGGCTGTGGGTGCATTCACAGCACAGCCCGGCCGTGTGCCAGCCCCGCTCGCCCTCACTGCGGCCGCCGCTCCGCCCAGCCCGGCCGGGCCCCGCTTCCTTCCGGGCTCGGTCCCGCCCCGGAGGTGCCGCCCGCCCTTCCGCCGGAGCCCAGGGAGGGACGGGGGAGGGCCCGAGCAGCGCCGGGGCCGTGAGGGGCTGCGGCGGCAGCAGCGCAGCGGAGCGGCCGGGCCGGCCCCGCCGCCCG